TATCATAACATGGACATTGCAAGATCAGGTAGCACGAGATTATTAATAAGAGGATAATATACCAACATCAATGGTTGGAGACATGAAAGTTTACCACTCGAAACGGTGTTCCTGGTATACAACACCACAGAGGAATATCTTTCTGTTTTCCATTTCTGACACGACATTTCCCTAGGATGTTCCCCTGAGCAGAATCTGGCCGACTTCTTCTAGGCTCGTTTTGTCCCCTAGAAGCAGTGCTGCCTCTGTTTCTTTCAGAAAAATGACCACGAAAATAATCAGTTATTAACTTGTTTGTTCCCATTTTAGTCTCATCGCCTACATTTTTTGAGACATCTGTCTTCACTTCGCCAGCCATCATGACATCTCCTCTTAGCTCCCTTAAAGAATGAACAATTTTTTTCCGAGGACCAAGTGCTGTAATGCCAATGCTACATAGGTCCTGCAGGAAAAACAATGGCAATATTCAGTCAAATTTGGTCAAGCAATAGAAAGTTGATGGAGGGCGATTCTGTGTGCGCACTAACTTCAGTCAACTACAAAGAAAACTCAAGCCAAGAATTCAGCAGACAACACTAACAGGCTGATAGAATAACAGCTTAGCTGACATTTCTGGAGGACAGGTCACGGTCAACATCAAGTCAAAACAATATGATTGAATTTTGAAGCGTGCTACTATGAACATACAATATACCTACATAAGAGCCCTTTGCTGCTTGCAAGTACTAATTAACATATGAGGATCTCATGACAAAATTATGTCAATTTTGAGAAACTCAAATAAAAGTAGGCCATGGATTGCACTGCAATCTCTCGCACTAGCAATACATTGGTAAGAGGTGAGTTTTGGGGCACAAGGGCCAAATTGAAGTACATTTATTAATCAAAAGAAGTAATTGTTTCCTGTAACTCATTTCAAACACTAAGTAGAGCTATAGATATATTTAGATGATTTATATGGTTTTACTAGTTCCCATCAACATATTTCTACTTTCATAGCACTAGATTTATACCATGTTCGAACTTGGGAAATTCCATTTTGTCCACTTTTACAAAAAATTTGCAGAGCTGACTGATAATTAAAAATATATATTCCAAAAGAATTCATCAATGCGCCCATGTCGAATGGGTGTAACCACAGCCAGATTAAATTTCGTTCTGCACACCAGCATATTGAAACAACTTCCAAATTTGGGCCGATACAGGCATTGCCTCCAGTACTTATCAGAAGGGGGAAAAAAAATGTCACCTCATCTGTTAGACACTGCAGTGTGTCCCAGTCAATCTCCTCCCTCACAAAAACGTCTTCATATTTGGAAAGGCCTAAATTGCGAAGCCATTCTACAACAGGAAACACGTCAACAACCTTCTGAGGAGGTCGAATAGAAGAACCATCAAGAACTTCTGCAGGAGATTGATGAGAAGTATCACTATAAGGAACAGACACCTGAAAGATACATCAGATTAGATCTTGAGTGAGAAATTCATATAGAAACACGACTTTTATCTGAGGAAGGATTCAGAAACGGAGTTCTTAAATTTCAAAGGTAACTAAGATTTCAGCAAACATTTTTAGTTGGTCATCTGCAAACAAAACATTATGCCCAAAATGATTCTATGAATCAAACTCTAATTTGAGGGCTATATAACATCATTCCTCAAATTCTTAGGTGCTGACTTAATAATTTGAATTTTCAACAATAAACCATATAATAATCCCGGAATTTTGCACAAATTAATCCCAGATGCACAATCCGCAAGTTTCCACAAGAATATTGGATAACTAAGAAACTTCTTTTCAAAACTTTGCCTTTGTTTGGGAATAATTTATAAACAGTTTAATTTATAAATAGATAGAAATTAATTGTGCGTAAATAGATAGTCCCAGTGAGTTCATTGGAATGTCTGGTGTCTGGTTGAAAACAAAGTTTGAACGGAGGCTTGGTTTGTTATTGAACTCTTTCAACTGAGAAAAAATTACAAAATTTTTGCATCAAATAGCAAGGGGATAAGTTAGGCTGGAGTCATATAAGAATAAGTTAAAATTTTCAAATCACAAGCCATACTATCAAATACACATACAAGAAAGACAAGTAAATTGAAACAAGGGCCTTACATCAGTTGAATTTTCCATTTTGTCAAGGCATTCGTTAGTGTGAACCTGCCTAAAATCGTCATTCAACGCCGAAATATCAGCTCCACATAGAGGACAGCAAATCGAACCACTCTCAACATTGCAATTTTCTTCTTCCAGAAATTTCAAATCATCCACATCAGAGTCACGCTCGGGCTTATCTCCATCAGCACACAGCTTGAGCAATACGTCGAATGGAGTGACCTCCCCCAAAATTTCTTCCTCGTCAAATCTTTCCTCCTCTTCAATCCGAATTTCCCTATCAACAGCTTCATTAACATTATCATTACTACCGCAAGCATCAGACATTAAATTTGGCTGCAATTTCAACAACCTTGACTCCATTGAGTTACTATTCCAGACACACCCGCCACTCCCATTCGACTTTAACAAATCAAGAGTTGGTTCAATTGAATCCAACCCACAAACCAAATCTGCCTCCATTCGATTTTCCTTTCCGGGATTTTGTCTTTTGGGCTTTTTCGATGGATTAGCGGTGGTTGAGCGGTGGGGTTTGAGAGGTGGCGGCTGTGAGCTGGTTCTAGAGGCCGTGGGAAAAGGGTAATCTTGAAAATCATCATCATCAAGTACGGGGGAGGTGAAGCTGAGAAGGGTTTGTGATTGTGAAGAAGAAGGGATTTTTCGATTGGATTTTGCGTTGGGATTGAGAGCCATTGGGTGAGCACACACACACAGTGTAGACGGGGGCCAGAGGAGAGGAGATTTTTCTTGCATTTCAAATTCTGCGTGTGGCCAGTGGAAATGGAGGGAACTTAAAAATTCTAATTTTAAAGGGGAATTGCAGCAGAGGTCCCTAATCTTTTCATTTTTTGCATAATTTACACTAATCTTCATTTTATGTCAACGGTGGTTCCTAACCTTTCATAAATATGCACTTGAGATCCATCTTGACGAAAATCGTCAAAAACACTGTTAGCTAATCGAAAAAAAGTAATCAATATCAAATAAAATCGTCCAAAAAGGTATCAACGTCCAATAAAATCGTTGCGGTAGCAAATAGTTTAAGAAAAATTTTCTATCAACTGATGGTATTTTGAACGGTTTCCATCCAGATGGACCTCACATACATATTTATGTAGGTTAGGGACCTTCGCTGACTCAAAATAAAGGTTAAGATAAATCTGCAAAAAATGAAAACGTTAGAGACTATTGTTGCAATTTTCTCATATTTAAATTAAAGTCAAGAAATAATTTTAGTAAGGTATTTGAATACACTATTTTTTAATCGTATATTTCATCGACTTTTATTAAAATCTATTAAAAATTTAATTTTAATCCCCAACTAAATGAGGGTAAATGAGTTTACTTATAAGTAAGAAAGTTAGTTTTAAAAATACTTCAAAATGAGTTTTAGAAAAATGGCCAAACAGAGACTAAGTTTTTCATTACGAAGGATGAATTAGTAATTATAGCAATGATCTCCAACCTTTGACTCTTGTAGTAATCATGACCCTAAACTTATATTGTGCAATCATGTTTATTTCGAACCATTGAATAAATGTTTTTAACCTTGTCTATAATCAGCAAGGTAAAAAAATTGTTATTAAAAGGACAATTTTATTCTCGTCTTTATGTAATAAAAAATGAGATGCATGAAAAAAAAGAAAAAAAAAAGAAATTCATCTCGTACCCACCTACCAACCAGAATAAATGATAAAATTGAAGAGGAGGTGGCACCGCCTCTGTTAAATGAATAACTTGTACATAAAGAGTTACATAACAATTTATGTACAGTTGAAATGCCAAAAAAAAAAAAGTAAAGTTTTTTTTTGTTTGAATAAATTCTGATTAATCATATATCTCGCCACATTTTTTGTATATAAATTATAAAACCATTACATAAATTATTATGTACATTTAACACAACCGCCAATAATATACTTTTCATTTTTTCACTTTTTAACTACATGTTAAAAAATACTTTTCAAAAAAATTTTTATCAAAAACAAGTGCTTATTGTTCCAAACACTCATTTTAGAAGAGTTCCAATAAAAAATAAGAATACAAACTTAGAATGTTTTGACTACTATCATAAAAAAATAGCTACTAATTGACAGTGACAATGGTAACACAACCACCACTATAGTTGTAAGCAATAACAATTGTTTGAAATGGGTGGAAGAAGATGGATTTTCATTTTTGTTTATTTAGCGCTTGTCTAGGTGCAATTGTTAAGAAAACGAATTTTGGCATCAACATTCAGGCCCCACAAAGGTATGAGATAAAGTTGTTGTTGTGCCAATTATTTTACTTTACATGAGTTTCAAAATATTCCAATAACAGTATTGATATTTGGCTCGAACAATGAATAATTGGTACAAAAATTGTCTGTAAGGAGTAAGAGTACATAGAATAAACAAATGACATTTATTGTATTCAACGGTCATTTTTTACTTTCGTTCTTAGACAGGCACTTAAAAATAAAGGCAGACTTTGTCCTTTTAATAATGCTTTAGTTAGTCATTTAAAAGAGAAGGGTAAAATTGACATTTAGAATTGAGGATAGAAATGTGATAATATAAAGAATGGCAACAACATTGCAAAAAGGAAAAACATTTGGTGACTAGTTGTGTAATTTACTGACAATGAAAAGGGTAGAGTGGTAAATGACTTTGACTCTGCAAAGAAGAAGAAGAAAGTATGAGATTGAATCACGCCAAGACCCCTTTTTTCTTCCCAAACCTCCAAAAAGCAAAAGAAAAACAGAGAATTGAAGCCTCCAGGGCACATCTTAACTGGTAAAGATGAGGGCGCTTCAAGTCTGACAGATCAGAGATTGTGAGTTCGACTCTTGAAAGGCAGATATTCTCCTAAAAGATAGAATTTATCTTGAAAGGCAGGAGCTCTACTGGAAGACAAAGTGCAAAGATAGGAAACGATTTGCTTGACACTTTGGCAGATCAGTCGGGAGCTCTTGAGCATTGATCAGTTTGGAGCACAACCTACGGTTTAATCTGTCTGCAGCTTGAGGGGTCAAGGTGTAAACTCCAGGACTGTAAGGTGGATAACTAGATATCAAAAAAAAAAAATCAGAGAATTGAAGAACGCGATTAAAAAAGGTTTCTGCTTAGATTCTTCTTCACACTCTCTGACTTCACATTGGCTACCCACTGGTCAAAAAGAGGAACGCTACGTAACCCATTGGGGTGGAATTAAACGATTCACTTTATTCCACTTATCATTTTAATGTCAGTTTGTGTTGAAATTGTAAATCCAATGAAACATTACTCATTCAGAAACGGTGCAAGAATTCTCTTTGCTTTGCATGCGGCCCTTTGTTATTTACTGCTCTTTCAAATATGGGAGTTCCATCTGCCAGTAATTATCCATTGACTCACTTTTTTTTGAAATTAGAAAAAAGGAAGAAAATTTATGCTTTTGCTGTGTTACTTGGAATGTACTAATAAATAGTATATTCATACATTTTTAAAAAATTCGACCTTTTTTCCCTTCCCTCTTCTTCTTTTTCATTCTAAACAACTTTCCATTTCTTTTCTTGAAACAGCAAAAAGAACACAGTTTCATTTTCCTATTAAAAGCACACATTTGTTTTAATCGTCATCTCAAAATTGAATGAAGAATTGACAAAAATGGATGGTATTGGAAGAGGGAGAGTGGAGGTGATAGCCAGCAAGGGGTGTTCAAGGCTATTTAGAGATTTTTCTTCCTCGTTCAGAAGCCTCCAGTCTTTCTCCTTGGAGCCCACGTCCCCTACTTCCAGTGCCCCTGAAGTTCTTGAATATCCAGTGAAATCGATGAAATCCAATAGCCCGTTCTCTGGCCTTGTCATTTGCGTTACTGGACTCTCTATAGGTGCGAATCCATGCGGCTATTACGATTATTTTGAATTTCGTATTACATGATTATTCTTATTTGGCTCTAGGAGCAGTTATTGAGAATTGTTTGGATTGATAGAACGCATCTACTATTTTATAATGAAGTTGAAAAATTATTACTGTGGCTGTATTTTTTCTCGTCCTACATTGCATGACAGCTAGTGATTTTATGCATAAGACAGTAAAAAACTACCACATTAATGTGTTAAATCACTAACTACCACATGTATGTCACGTAAGGCAATGGCGATAGTAAGTAAATACAAATAGCATTACCCTTTCTCTTGTGAGTGCACTTGGCATCGCATGTATATGGTATGCAGGTTGATAATAGATTACTGTTGAACCATGTTGTCATAGAAGTTTAGGCGACAAAACATATATATTTATGTAAGTAAGTATCCAACGCGTCCCACAACGTACATTTTAAATTTATTTTTGCATGACATGTGTACAGCTTTCATAAATAGGTGGTGGTGCCTGGAGAGTCTTGAATTGAGGACCTCTGCTTTCTCAAATATCACGTTGAACCAATGGTTCAAACACTTTAGCTATTAAGTGGGAAGGCATTTATTTATTTAATTTGTCTTCAAGGGTTACTACAATTTTTTTTTTCTTCATAGTTTTGTCGAGTCAAAGTCTTGGAGAAGTTGACTGGTTTTAAGTTTTAGGATAATAAATAAATTGACTTTAGATTTTAAGCTGAAAAAAATAAGGGTTGGTTGACCAAAAGTAGTTACATATGTTTTTTCACACACTTTTCATACAGCTGGTTGTTTATTCTGCTATGCTTATGTTATTTACAGAAGCAAGAAAGCAGGTGAAGAAAGCAACAGAGAAATTGGGAGGTCAATATAGTCCTCATCTCCATCCTCAATGTACTCATTTGGTGGTTCAGATATCCTATCTCAATATTTAGTACTCTGATGCTTATTCGGTTAAGTGAATTTGTGTATTTTTAAATAACAATGTACAATGAATTTTCCAACACATATAATAATATCAATTTGCTGAATAACTGTTTAATTACATTTCTTTTCCTCAATATAAATGCTTGGATCTGTTTTCAAATTCTCTCTCAAAATATTAGCATCAAACACTTAAGATGCTGTTATCTTGCTGATGCAAAAATGCATTCTACTCCCAAGATATTTTTGTTACCCTTAACACTTTGTACAGCTCTCATGGGCACAAGTTTGAGCATGCATTGAAACATGGACCAAGAAATGGTCTGTTTTTGGTTACAATAAGCTGGTTCGTCGACAGTGTCAAAAAGAACGGTAATAAATTCATTTCCTTTATTTGTTGTTTGCTTTCAATGATAATGAATTGACTTAATTTTTACTACTTTACTTTTTGCCAACACGTTATATTGTATTAACCCTATTATTACTGAGTTGGTCACCAATAATTTACTCCATGGACTCGAAAGCATTGATTTCATTTTTTGTGATGGATGACATTCTTAATTGTTAACATCAGCTGGTAAATTTAGATCTCTTAACATTGTCTCTAAACCCTGTGCTTATGCACATAAGATCTACACAAGAGGTCTGACATGTAATATTGCTATTGACCTCGGAGTTATACTTCACATTCTATTGCACTTGAAGATTTACTGAATGGGTTGAAGGTGACCTGTCATACCATCCAATTCAGAGCAGATTTGGGTTAAAATTAGCTTGGCTCATGTAGCCATCTTATGCACAAGAATTTTTTCTTTAAATTTAGCAGCACTGGGTTATCCTGAGCTCAAATTGAACAAAATAGATATAGGAACATTCTACTTTCGAACAACTGAGTTTGTTCTTTTAATTGTTTCAGAGAGGTTGAATGAGTCACTTTATAGAGTTAATCATAATGGAGAAACAGGTGCCATGAACAGTGATTCGAAGCGGCTTGATCAGAATACTGACAGTAAGAAATCTTCTCATCCTGTTGATTCAATTGAGTATAGCGGACAATCTGGCTTTCTCGGAGGACCACACTTGCGGTTTTCAGAAAGACATTCAAAAAGAATTGTAGCTTCACCCTTTTCTGGTCAATCAATTTATGTTGACAATGATGTCTCCTCTGATCTTTGCAGTAAGGTAGGGTTAAATTTTTTTGAAGGCAGTGAAGTTATATCCTTGCTTAGTTGAATGAACTATAGACTACAGATATTGTTCTCGGAATCACACTCAAAGTGTTAAGTTATTGCTTATTTCATTTGAGAGATGAGCTATCATTCTTTAGTTTATTCTTCACTGTGTTCTTAGTGAAGTTCTTACATGCTATATTGTCATAAACTTGAACTTTTGTGAATTCAAATGATTCAAATTTCCAAGGTAACCCAAAGAATTCTCTCAAATATGTGTATCTATTGTATAGGTAGCTGAGGCTGTCTCTGCAGAAGGTGCTAGTTTACTTGATCAATGGTATGTTGGCTGTGATGCCAATTATATTGTGTGCGAAGGATCTTCGGTTCGAAAATATCTTGGGCACTCCTGTAATCTTGTTACAGTAAGTGTTTGTATGTCATTCCGTTTATGAAAAATTGAGAGATTGTATAATGTTCAAAACAGAGTAAAATAACATATTTGTCATTTATGATGATGATGTTGTCACATGAATTTGCACTATGCTACTAGGATTTTATTCTTCATTCACCTTCTCAAATATCTGATATACTGTAGTGGTACATTTTCAGTCATCTACAAACTAATACTTTGCATGCCTCAGCCAGCGTGGGTTCTGAAGTCTGCAAAGGAAAATTGTGTGCAGAGGCTTGTACATATGTCTGCAGATTTGGCAGGGCAAACTGGGTCATTGCTTGGCACAATTGAAAATGGTATTTTTAAGGAGGTAATGCAGGTTTTTCACTATTAATTCTTTTTCTTTTCTTGTCCTTTTTCTTTCTTCTGAATTTATAGGTCTTCGGAACATTTGATAAGCCTATAACTTTAAATCACAAGTTTATACAGAATGAAAATTTATTTAGCATTTACAAGTCACGGGTATTTGAAATGCACAAAACATTGATTGGTGGAAGCCAGTCAGTGAAGAATCTCTAGTTCCTACATGTACATTTCTTGAAGTGATTGTAACCTTAGATATTCTTGTTTAGCCTACGCCAAGGACTGCTCCTATTTCTGGCTCCAAAATGATGTAGCTGGAGCCAACTCAATCCATGACGTTAATCTGGTGAGCGTCATGGTTAAAAAACTGTCGAAATGTCCAATCCTTGTTAGAGGACATCGGGGATTAGTTATAGAAGTTAAAATCATTCTTTTAATCCGAAAACTAGTTTCTCACTGTGCAGTTTACTTGGTTTTGATTGGGATATGTGTAGGATTAATAGTTAAAGTTAGTTAGTTCTAGCACTAGTGGTTCCTTTTGGAGGTTATATGTCAGGTAAACGCCCACTAAATGGCTGCAATGGTACTCAGAATCTTTGTGTTTTATCAGTTGAATGTCCCTATGAATTTCATCTGCACTAACGTTCTGTAGAATTTGTTCCCTGATTGATACAAACTCCAAGCTGTTTCTAAGAAAATGTTGTTTGGTGGTTCTATCTCTTCTCATTAAGTTTTGCATCTATTGAGCCTTTAAATTATCCTCAGGGGATCAATGGGATAACACATCCTGCTGCTGTACCTCGTTTTATAATTAATAAAAGCCAGGTCGAAAGGCAAAATATTACAAACCTTGCTAAAGATGGTGTCAGAAGGCGTCGGAATCTCCATATGCGGGTGAACTTTCTTGATGCCTAAACTGATTTCAATGATTTATATATGCCTTACTTTAAATGTTGAGTTTTTTTATGGTTTAGATGCTTATGCTAGTCCCATTGATTTCTTATTCATTTTCATCCGTTAAGTGGTGATATTTGTGCTGATTTATCGTGAATCTGTTTTGCGCTTGAATTTTGTAACATAATGCACCTGTGGCAGCAGACATGTAAAACACCATTACATCCAATAACCCCAAGCAGCCTTTTGGATTCCATCTGCTGGTCAATATCTGAGCCAACTTCCTCTGCTTCTATTTATACATATTCTTCAAGTGCTGAGAATGGCATCAAAAACCAGACATGTCCGATTGTTGAGACAAAAGAGGACGTTAGCAAATCAGGGACTTCATTTGTGAACTTATCCCGACCGCTTACAGAAAGGTCACTTGAACTCTTAATTTTTTGCCAGTTCTATTGTCTTTTGTAGACTTGGACTTGCTGAATATGCTTCCTCTCTCCCATTGGACTTGTGGGTGAAAACCTGGATCTGCTGTTTTATCCCTAACCGAATTTTTGTATCTGTGGAGTCAATTGCAGTGAGAAATCTGGGTTAATATTCAAAAGCCATTTCCTTACTATACTGTTTCCAATTGATCGATATTTGGAGATGGGCCCTCGTTCAAGGACATTTTTCAGCGAGAAAGGCTTTGCATGTTTGCAGGTGTTGGATTATATCTATGCATTTTACCAGGTATGTGATCTTCTTTTGCTATGACTTGTCCGTGTGGATCTTTAGCTGTTTCGTGGGGGGATGGTATACCCCAATATTCAACGGCATAATATTGTTTTAATGATTTCACAACTGAAAACTTATGCAATGTTCTTACTGGTTTCATGATTCTTTTTCGTAGGAGAATATGTCGACTGATGAAATAGAAGTAGCCATCCACACAGATTCAAGAAATGCTGACCGGCTTCGATTAGCCTCTTGAAAGATCTAAATAGAGTATAAACTTTTCTCTCTCTAGATCTGTGTATCCCTTTTCCTTCTTTTCGTTTACCTAGTGTACTAGTACTTTTATTTAATGAGCAAAGCACAAAAAAAATGCTGTAAACGTTACATCCATGGACAGATCTGGTAAAATATTGCGATTCTCTCTCTTCCCTTTTGCTTGCAAAATTCAAGAAAGTACATGTAATATATCATTTTAGACTTGAGTTCCTTAGCACATAAAAAGAAAACTTACGTTTTGATATCCCTTAAGAGATCCAGAGATTATAAGCTGTTTTGTGACAAAAATAAGCTGAAAAACTTCTTGTTGACCTGCTGGTTATAAGTATAATCTGGGGTTGTCAACAAGGTTGGATTTTAGGGCACCCCCAGAATATTTAGGGTTGTCCATCAAACATGTAGATCTGTACATTTTCTTCTCATTTTCACATCTAGTGTTTGATTGTTCTAACGAGTTTTGAAATGTTTGCAACAAAACAGCATTTGGACAATGAAATCAACAGAATCAAGAAAGAGAATGACAGGATGCAGACTGAACTCAGGTTAAATTACTTTTCTTCCTTGAAATACATACACATATACTAGGTTCAACGAAACGTGAAACGATGAATAGAAACGCTATTTATGAAAGAATTAGGACGTACATTTGAGTTCAAACGTTGTTTAGAGTTACTTGAAGAGTTTCGATTTTTGAAATAGAAAGAGTTTTAAAACTTTCCTTGCTACCTATTATAATTATATATACGCATACACCTCCACATCTTTTACGCATGCCCAACCCAATAGTACATGTCTTCATACATCTTGTCAATTTCAGGCATCTGAGTGGAGAGGACATCACAACTTTGAACTACAAAGAGCTTATGGTTTTAGAGGAAGCTCTTGAAAATGGGATTTCAAGTCTCAAAGCCAAACAGGCAAAGTCTTTTCATTTTTTTCTTACTATTTTTTTTTTTTGGGTTCCCAGCTGCCTTTTGATTCATTAATCTTTATATCATAAAGTAATCATCTGATGTTTATCTATTTATTTTTATTTTTGACAGATGGAGTTTGTTCCGATGATGAGGAAACATGTAATCCAACTGCCAATAATCACTTATTTTTCAACTATTTTGTACTATATACTACATTAATCAGTTATGTTTATATTTCTATTCATTTGTTATTTGCTTATATGATCCGGTGAACATCGTTTCAGAATGAAATGCTGGAGGACGAGAACCAGGGGCTCCAGTTCAAGCTGGTAATTCTATTTCTACGTGTTAAAGACTTTCTTCCTCATTTTATTTCTATAAATTAATGCTGCCGTTGAAGTTTTGCAAAATTTGCATGCCTAATTAATTCCAATTATTTACAGCGGCAAATGCATTTGGATCCGATGGATGATCATCAACAGGGAGTTGGAGACTTCGAATACCAAATGCCTTTCGCCTTCCGCGTGCAGCCAATGCAGCCTAATTTACAGGATCGTTTCTAGTCGTGCTGTCTGCTGCTCCACAAATTATAAACCTTTGTGGCTTAATTTGGTTTCTTCCAAGAAAACCTTAGTTAATGTTTGTAAGCTTAATTAGGTTGTCTGAAACTGTTTCACTTATGTTTGCCTTTGTCCTAAGGTTTTTAGCCTGTCTTATGAAATGGTATGTTAACATTTTACATGTTTATGTATTATTATATAAAAACCATATCGATTAAGGCTGACATTAGAAAACACACTAAGCAAGGGGATGAAACTGATCTCCGACTCCGACTACAAGAATGCCTTCAAGATTTATACCCACAACGGTAACTGAAATTCCAAGATCATATCCGAAATTGAGCCCACCAATTGTAGAGACCATACAAGATAGCAAAACAAACCCTGAAATTGTGCTACTTTTTTGTGAATTTTCATTACTTATTGTGTGTCCTACTGCCATGGCCTTCCTCACAGAGAGAATGAAGATTTAATTAATAGAGGAGGAAGACGATACTCAGAAAAATCGACAAACGTAACAAATACAAGATCCACGGATCAATTGAGTTAGGTGAGAACTTGCAAGAGTTCAGAAGTCCACCAAACTTGAAAGAACTTAGCTTGCATTAAACTGTGTCTTAGTCTCGTAATGATCTTCTTTGTGTGTGTACTGATGACTTGACACAAATCTAAGATAAACCCTTGCACTCTTAGCAGTTTCTTAAATTATGTGCAAGATTACGGGGAGATATAGAACAAACGTCCATTTGCTAGTTGCCTGAAATAGAAGAAATGTGTTGAGCATGCCTACAGAATCCCTCCTAGGTTGAAACAATCCATGAAAGCGCAGGGTGATTCGTTAATCATTGCTGGAGTTGCATTTGTTAGGCTACCATCTTCTTGATGGTTTGCTGCTAGAGAAGGTCACCATCTTTGGAGAATGTGGCCTTTGAATTTGGCTCTAGGGTGTTGAACCAGTTGCAGGCAGGGTTGGCGATTGTACGAGGAAAGGCCTCGGAAATTATGGGGGTGGAAGCACCTTGTAGGTTCATGCAATTAGAGCAGGCATATGTTGCCCTTGTACCTTGTTATCAATAAATATAATTTTATTATCTAATGAATGAGTACTACAAAGAAAAATTATATTTCCACCCATATTAGTAACTTGATCTTGGCCCCTGTGAGATGGGTTACCCAACTCCCAAGGCATGCCTGCCAAGGCTTGATGCCCGACCTGGTGGTCGGGTGTTTCGACTGTGTAGGGGTTTTGAGCAGGAGGTGCAGCCTGTTGAGGATGATTGCTGCAACTTGCAGCCTAAGACGTTATAAGGCTTCCGGAGATATTGATGGTGGTTGTGGACAGAAGGGACCGGATTTCTAGACACTCTGAAATGTTGAATTATCTATTGATTTTGCAAGTAGAAAAGAGTTGGTGTTCAAAACTACGAAACATTGGAACATCCCCAGAAATTCCGTTTCAAACTTGGAAATAAGCGCACAAGAAAGTTGAATTTTTTGTACCAAAATATATACATAGATAGATAAAACATCGTCCTATCAGCTATCACAGAGGATCATTCTTCGCTTATGATGACCTTTTCCTGTCTCTCGAGTTCATAAAGCATGAGAAGTGCAGCGGAATCAAATGAAGCCTTCTTATCTGTTCTTCCCTCGCCTGTCAACTCTATAACACCGAAGTCGGGAATAATCAATTTGATACGTGATTCAAACTTATTGAAGCCTTTCTTGTCACCAATTATAAATGGAGTTCTACACAAGGCCATATAATTTAGGTATGAGGATTAGCATCAAATAATTATAGAAAAAATAATTCAAACTCCAAAAAGAAGGAACAAGGAAATGATTGGTAAAGAGATATGCTGTACTAACTTGGATTTTTCCTCGTATGTCTGGAAAGTAGGCAATGGCCATTGTAGCCTTTTGCAGAGGTCAAAAAGTGAGGACCGAGGTCCTCCTTTGTTCATGTTAATAGGTGGCATAACTGTCCAGAAAGAAAATAGCTCATTTAAGAAAAACAGATTATTCGATAACCTAAGTGCTAGCAGTCTAGCACCAATTCCTGGGAAGTAGTATCCAGCATCTGGTTCGACGGGGGTAGCAATTCTAAGCCCACAACACAAGAGCACCATGTACATTTAATGTTGGTTATCATAAAAGGAATCTCCATTCGTGTTCTTCTTGTTCCTCAATAAGAATAGGCCTGCCTTCGAGAGATGGTAATTACATGAAAGAAAGAAATAAAGAATGTACCATAAGAGCATGGGTCTTCAGGGGCGACTCATGTAATAGATAAGCTTAAATACCTATGCAACGGAAAGTATGTGCAGCAATGATTCAACATATTGCAAGTGCATTTATATTGACATTGAAATTGGACTTTCTTTCTGATATATGAGAAGTTGCCAAAACCTTGTTCTCTGAGGTGTGAAATCAGAACACTTAACTCACGTTTGAAAGGAATGATTGGATATTACAAGACGACATTAATGATGAAAAAGAAGTTAAATCTTGTTCGTTATATTCTCTAGTCGTGTCTTGTAATACATATCAAACGTGCACGTTGAATTGCAAAGATTTGAGAAAAAATACTAATGATGAATACCTGGGGTGACAAACTTCAGCTTTTTTTGTGGCGGTTCAGAAGTTTGATTGTGTGTCTGGCTAATGATAATGCCATCTAAGCCTCGGGAAGAATCATCAACATCATTGGTCCCTAGCTTTTTCCGCTTGGAAGATACAATTCCTCTTCCCTGTCATATAGTGAACGCATCAGAATCAGATGACGGGAAGTTTCAGGAGCTGTAATAATAGAATCTCTAACTGAAAACATACATCCTTGGGAAACTTAAAATGTGGCATCCATCATTGATTTTATATGCAATTAATTACCATTTTCGTAAGCAAAAGTCTACCCTCAAACAGGAAAACAATAGCACATTCATCACAACTATGAAGTATCTACACACCTGTGACAGCAGAATTTTCCCAAAAAATTATCTAAAATAGGTGTGGAAAAAAAAGAAAAAAAAGAAAAAAAAAAGAAATTCTTTAAATAGGTAGTCAAGGATTCTCCTTCTCAAAAAGCAAAAAATGGAGAGCGGTCCAGTCCTCTTTTAATGCTATTTTTCTCTTAACAAATACATTGGCATGTCCTATTATGAAGCCTCAGAATGGCATCAATGAAATATTAAATTTGGCGATAGCCCACTTTTTCTCCTGTACTTATTTATAATTTAGGGGGTGTTTGAGCCACATTATTTTGGTAATAACGCATTCTTGGATAGTGTATTGATGGGAAATGTGTGGTTAAAAAATAAGGAAAAGTTTTTGATTTGCGTGTAATATTATTTTATTGAAAAATGTGTGGTTGAAATGATGTTAAATCACTGTTTAAGAATACATTTTTTTTGAAATAATGTGGCTCAAACAGGCACTTAATCATTCTTGAGTTTTCCATGGAAAGCATTCAATAAAATTGCATCATGAGAAGTTTATAAGCTGAGAAAATGGTAAAGGTATAAATGTTTTAAAGGAATAAAAGTAAAGGTATCGAAAAGCAAACCTCCAATTGTTTCAACAGATCAACAGCTGCCATACCCTTTGCAGCTTTCCTGTCATGTCCTGATCCATGTCCAAGCAACATCACATCTTCAAGTTGTACCTTAAGTTCTGCATTCATTGTGTTCCCTTTCAGCGTATAGTTGACTTTAATAAAGTAGCCAAGAGAGTCACATAATTCAATCAATTCACGACATGGAGGAAGTTCTAGATTATCAGGAGTCACTATTGGAGACAATAGCGGCTTAAAGACTTTCCAGACTTTATTTATATCAAGGTTGGTGTCTATAAGCATTGCACCGGCGATGCTTTCCACCAAGTCCCCAAGTACCTGAAGCAGAGAATGGAAAGATTCTGATTGTAGATAAAAAATAATCAAAAAAAAAAAAAAAAAACTAAAAATAGAATAATGGTGACAAAAGAATTGAATTTTAAAACATAATAAAAATCAAATTGGCTAGAAACTAGAAACTCACCTTAGGAGCTTTTATGGCTTGAGTTAATATTGAGGTTTTGCTTAAATCTGATGTGGACTTTACATATTCTGATATTTGACTTCCAAGACTTGAAAATCCATGTTGAAGGTGCGAGTAAAGATTATGTTTAACAGCAGCAATGGCAAAATTGTCATTACTAACGGAGGCAGCCCTCAAGTCTGTCAACTCCCCCGGATCAACATCTGGGTGACTTAGGTAAAGATGCCACGTAACAAGTATGTCCAACACTGAGTCGCCTAGAAATTCAAGCCTCTGTCGAAGATTTAACAAGGACAAACATGCAAATGTTCAGAAAGTCATTAGTTGCGATATAGTGTGATGTATGAATTGCAGTTTAATTTACCGAGAGGGAAAAAAATAAGTATCTGTGAAAGGGATGAATGATCTTTTTGGGAGTTGGACACATATATGTTGAAGAAACCTCATACAAATACATATCCCTCTCTTAACATCTTAAACTTGTACATGAAGGGTTCAATACGTTAAGCATGAAGGGGTTCAACATGTTAATAGAACATGAAAAAGTCCCCAAGTTCAAGTCTCACGGACCATCCATTCATAAAAATGTGCACATCTAAGGCATCTGATGAAAAAATGAATCAATGGTTCATGCATGTGAGGGGGGTGTTCAGTAAGTAAAAAGTCTTCCCTCTCTAACAGCTTAAGTTTGTAGATGAGGTGGTTCGGCAATAAACTAAAAGGTAAAAGGTTGATATTATGGAATTTCAGTAATTCTTCTGAAGTAACAACAAGAAGCCAGGGTAACATTAATGTACATAAGCTTTAATATTGAAGAATTTCAGTTCACACCTGGTAACAGTAGTCAACACCTTGCTCGTGTTCATGTGTTATGGCTTCTAGCAACAATCCCTTCACGGAGAATTCATAACCAATTTTTGACTCTAGTAATTTAAGATCTTTAGCTTTTGGGGTATAAGAACGGAGTGATGCTGTTTTAATAACATCATCTACCCACGAAGGCTCAACTTCAGCACCTATGCTGAACCATTTCATCAACTGAAAAGCGGCATTCAAGCCGCCGCCTACATAGTATGCCCCAATAAGTGCTTCAACACAATCAGAGACGGTTTTTGAACCCATCCACCGATGTCCTTTATCACAACTCTTTCCAACAACTAGTTTTTCATCTTCAGTTACGAATTTATCATCCATGGGCACTTCCCTGGTATCCACCCCATGATCACATGGAGAACGCCAGATAGAACGTTGTCCGGAAGCAGTCCACTGACGCGGATCAAATGCACAATCACGTATGTATTCCTTAACATATACAACAAATAAAAAGGTAAGTCAGCGGAGCTTATTAAGTAAATGATTATTGAGATTTGTTGAGTTCGTAGAGTGTTCGACTGGATCATCAAATAACTTAAAACTGAAAGAAGGCACATGAGTTTGAACTCAAACCAGAATTACATATGTTTATCCGAGATCCAAAACTATGAGCTCCAGTAAAGTAAAAAGGAGTTAGAATTTCAGAAAATTAAATTAAGAGACAAGAGAGGTGGTGTGTCCTTATTCTAGAATTCTCAACCAGAAGTTTAACAGGATTCCAATGACAATCATTAGTTCACAACCTGACTTGATGTAAAGCAGCCGTACTCTTTAACTTAAATTGAACTTTTCTTACAAAGTTTATTAATTCTGTCCCACTTGAAAAGCATAGGGAGGGAGGGAGAACAGGACACCAGAGACTGCATTTTTAATATGATTTGACAAGTCATGCACTACTGGATAATGTCAATGATTTTTCTGACCTCCAGGACCATTAACTAATCCAGGAATAGTTCCATCATGCAAGTTTTCATTTCTTTTTTGCATGCTAATTATTAACCATAAACCAGTAAATCTTCCACTGATGCATTGAAAAGATCTGTGAAACAATCCTATGAAGGTGTGAACTTTCCAAGGAGAGGAAAGATTGTGAAGCTAAATTTTAGTTTAGGCAGTTCAACAGAGGTAGGATAATGATCACCTGAGGTAAGGAAGACATGCAAGGGCCCATCCAGAAACACAAACAAGGACATGCGCACACACAAAACTAGACGAAAGAAAATAAATGGAGGGAGATAGTTGTGGAGACCAGCTAGCGTGCAAGAAAGTTAATAAATGGATACCTGCAAGGTGCGATTAGTTCCCAATTTATGTAGAGTTGCATTACAAACAGCCCTTGAACGACGACTAGATAATTGTCCTTCATGAAGCTTGGAATCCTTAAGAAAAAGGTGGCAGCTAACAGTATACTTCAAAACTGAATCTCCAAGCAACTCCAAGCGCTCCATGGAAAAACTTTCATTACATCTTAGAGTAGTGAGAGCTTCCAGAATCTGACCATGAAAGATATTATTAAATTGAAAGATTGAATTGTGAGGTTGATTCTTTACACTATATGACAACACAAACCAAGGAGCTTGTTATATGTAAGTCGCCAGCAGGGCCTGCAATTTCATCTCTAAGCTGGCTGGCCAACATCAGAGATTCCAGTCGGTGCATTATTGAGGGCAGAAGGTAGAATGGCTTCAAGATGTCGGTCCTAATATCAGTGCCTACTAAAAGTTCTGGCGGCATGTGAGCATGTTGTTGTTCTACACCAGCTGTCCATTTATTTTTGGATTTATTTCCACCTGTTGAAACAGAGAAATTTCAGATTACAACTAGCACAACATATTCGAATAGGAAAATCAATTTAACAATCACATTCTGCTTCTTGAAAGAAATTTAATACATTTGGAACAAGTATAAATGGATAATTTAGAAAGAACTAATTATTTTGTAACCAGATATATTTTAAGTTGGAATTTAGAAGACCTTCTCCAGCATTTTCACAGCTTAAAAATAGTTTAGCTTACTACTCTGAAATAAAACCTCAGGAATTGAGGAGCATATCGCTACAAATCAGGTCAACACATTACAGTCAACTATGATAGCTACGAGACCCATGACATGAAATCTTACTGAGCAATGCCCTCTGGGCAAGTAAACTTGCCATTTGATTAAACTTTTAGATACTTCTTTTACAAGGAATATAAAAATATGTCAAATCTCATAGAGCAAAACACCAAAACGAAAAAAGAGAGTGACAAGAAAGAAAAAGGATTCCTGAATATTAATGTTTTATTTTCTTTCTTGAGATTTCCCATCAAACAAGATGGGAAATGTTGTGTGGAAAGCAGTAGTTTTGACTACTTTAGGGTAGTTTCGATAAAAAGAAATTCAAGAATTTCTTAAGATAACGAACGGTTCCCTGGTGATTTATGAGAGAGAGCAAATTTTCTTAACTTCTTTATGAGCTTCTACATCCGAGGAGTTTAAGGACATAGCTTTATCTTTTGTTGTCGTTAGTTGAAAATATGTGACATGCTCTTGATTTTAATTTTAAACCTATTTTTCTCTTTGAAGAGGACTCCTAATTCCCACATATTTACTTTCATTACGTGATTATTAATATTATGTTTCTTGTCAAAATAAAAAAAGTTTCTTTCTCATGTTTTCAAAATAAACCTTGCACTTAGGAAGACGCAAATTCTGGCATAAAAGAATGACCATGAGGCAAGATGAATAAGACAGTAAAAATGTTGTCACAACCCAACAAACCTTCCTTACTGAAATCCACAAGAAGATTGTGTGAGTTATGGCTTTGCTTCAGAAGCAACAGAGGCTGTTCAGGATGCTTTAAAACAATTCCATACCTGGCAAGAAGCAAAATCAATAATGCAAATTTTGTAAACGAAAAAAAAAAAAAAATACATATATATATAATGTAAGACCTACTTTTTGTGAAAATAATCAGCATATGACAGAAAATTGGTATCTTCTGCTTCAAATGGGCTTTCAGCGGATGTGTTATCAACGGCATGCACAATAGAATAAATTCTGCAAGTATGGATGGCCACAACCACCATTTCCTTGAGGCTGTCTACGGGAACAGATTTATTGGCCAACTCAATGACATGGCCATTGAATTTAGTTGTAACTGAATCATTCGAGTGAATTAGAGAATTTTCACAATCATCCTTCGGTTCAAGAATTTTTAGCCAAGCATTTTTCTTCAAAAATTCCACCACCGAAACACAAGATTCAATTCCAGTCCAATTGATATCCAGTGGTTTGCCAGTAGGTTTGTCTACTGACTCCAGGGGTAAAAGCAAATACATATTTAGAGGATCCCATAATGATTCCTTGGTCTCAAGTAAAAATCTTTTTTTCCCTGATAATTTGACATACAATTTTCCGAATAAACCATTGAAAAATAGCTCCTGGAAGCATTTTGCTTTTGCCACCTATAGAGAGAGGATATAATTAGTTACCATAAAATGAAAAAGAGAAGAAATTAAAGACATTATTAGATATATATCATATGCATTAGATTGATCGAACAAGGATTAATACTAAACCTGCTGAGAATCCAGATATAGTTCACCATGGAAAGAAACAAAACATCTAACAAACTTTTTGAGCAAGAATAGATCCACTTGGTTGTTTCCCACATCATCATCCAACTTTGATTCAAGTAAGAGAAGAAAACTGGAATAATGCACTTCAGCAATGCTACAAGAGAATTCCATTTTGTATGCGTGAAAACAGGCACCATCATCTTTATCTCCCCAGTTCCCAGACAACTTGCGCACACAGGTTGTCCCATGTAATTCCTTCCTCTTCGTTGTTCCTTGAAGCATCGCAGCAAACAAAAATGTTTTCAAGAACTCAAAAATTAGAGACAAAGTAGAAAAAGTAAAGACAAGAGGTCGACCTCACATTTAAGTTTCAATTTGGAAGAGAACTTATGGTAGGTAATATTATAGATGGGATGAACTTTTTTACTGCCATGTAAATTATAAAATGTCGATGTATTAATTGAAGAATATAAGGGAAGTAATCCATCGTCACTGAAGGATATCATGGACTATATTGCCCCAATGATTGACTTTTACTATGAATTTTGCAAGTCAGTTTAGACTTTAGAGACTGGATAAAACAAGGAAGGAAAGAGACAGAATGTGACAAGTTTCTATTTTGTATATACACTCTGCTACAGATAAAAGATAAAGAAAACCCATTTCTAAATATAAGAGATCATCTATGGTAACTTCCTAAGAAGATTATCAATGTTCATCTTGGAAAGCGTTCACCCAGAACAAGGCTAACGATTCTCTTTAGGTGTTGAACACATACCAAACTTCACAGACAGTTTAATATGTGAAGTACCTGCACCAGAAGTTAACACTTTGCCTTTCAGGGTGGAATCATTCTGTGGAGGCTCTTCATTGACAGGAAGAAGATGATCGTTGAGAGCCCCCATCATGTGCAACTTCTTACATGCATCCAAGCAAACAAGTTGTTTGGATAAATGCCGGCTTCCAGATTCAGGACCGATGATAGTTTGAAAGGGTGCACTGGGTGGCAGAACCAGTTTACATCTATAAAAGCTCCCCTCCTGGAAGCACTCAAAAGTTGGCTTGAGAATGACGTTACTGTAGAGGAAAAGAAAATCTAAAACTAATATTGCTTGAATAGAATGCAGCAGTCCTACAACATATGACCGTAAATTTCTGTATTCCAAGTAAAGGGGGAAGAAAATATCCGTACTTTTCTCTAGGGAGTTTGTCACAATATCTATGTACAAGGCTGATGCTAGAATTTGCAGCTACTGATGCTCCAGTCACCTCCACAATGTATGCAGGTACTTCCTTTGTAGCAGAAGCTTTTGTAAAAGAACCATCAGTGTCTCTTGTTATGGCTTTATCAGTCATAGAATACTCACTCTGAACAAGATTAAACATTTTATCTATTTGATTTTTGTTTCCCCTGAGACATAGATGTGGAGTTAGTTGGACTTTCAACGTGAAATCACATCTGTTAAGCAGATACAAATCCCATCTTCAAAAGTAAATTTTATTTAAATACATTCTCAAAAGAAGGCTAAGCCCTGTAAAAGAAGAGTGCATGCGTGAAAATGCTGTTACCTCTCTAGCATCAAGATATATTGTGAATCATCTTGACAAGCTCGGCTCTTTGACCAAACAAACCTACGGACTGACTCTGGTATATCAAAGCTTATTACAGAGGAACATTTGGGCACCTGCATTCCCTCCTCAACATTGCCAGTAGCGAACAAAAGATTGACCTACATAGAATGCTCGTCAATTAAGAAGCTAACATGAAAATAGGAAACTTTTTCAATGTAAGTGAAGTATATGCTTACTTTCCCGCATTGGAATGATTCCAGGGTTTCTCTTTGTATTTTTAGAGCAAGTTCATCACCTGAAGAGTTACTTCCAGTCAACCATGAAACAGTAAGATGTGACAAGTCTGTATTTTTCTTTAAGAATCTTTCAATTACTTTAGCAGTAATTATTCTTTCAACAAATATGATGCACGAGACTTCTCTAGCTTTCCTGCAGCAAAAAGTGTGAGTAGAGAAAAAGAAAAGGAAAAATGTAAACAAAGAAAGAACTATTGAGATATTTAAAAATACAAGTACGGCAAGTATATGAACAATATTATAGAAGTCTTATTACTCGAATGATCTAAAAATTTCGAGAAGCTCGTGCAGCTTTGAAGATATTTGGCCCCTGGCAATAGCCTCCAAACCACTATAACGAACATCCTGAAGTTTCTCATGATCTGAGGAGATAAAAAAACTGAGAATAATGGAGAATCTGAGATATACCTCATTTATGCAATCACAGTGAAAAATTTTGCATATAAAAATAAATCAAATACTCAGAAGTTAACATGGAGAGAACAACTTTTATCATCCAATATATCCAACAACCACTTCCGGGAACAACTTAAGAATATAGTGAAGAGGGTCATCACATAATTGCCACATCTCTTCTTCATTGGCTATTAAAGCACCATCACGTGTACTAATTGTACACTATTGTCGAGACTCCAAGAAACCAAAGTTTTTACCCTATATGGACTATTTTGTAAAGCTAACCGAATCATAGCATGTAAAAAATCGTCAAGGACATGTTCCTTATTGTTGCATGCCCTGAATTTGTGGATGAGGTGTTTAATAGTAAAAATAGGTAATACTGTTCATTGTCTTGGATGCAACCCCCATGGTGCCCTTAATGAAAAAGGTCCGAAGATTAACTGCAGCTAATCAAACCAAAACTAAAAAGGACAGCAGAGAGAAAATTGAGTTGACATGGGAAAACTATAGCTTTCATCGATAAGGGATCAATAGAACAGATGGTTGCATGTTACACAACCAGTAGTGCACCAGGCATAAAGCCCCTAACTACAGACGTTCTTAATAGACTAGATTCACTACAGCAGGCAGAGCAGGAAGTGATGCCTCTATGACCATCATCATGACGCATTTGACTATGTTAATTGGCAATCCCAGATGGATGATAATGGAAAAAACATGTAACATAATGATAATAAGTACATTTAAAACTTATGCTGTATATTTCAAATTAAAATTCAAAATAAGATGACTTATAAAAATACCTTCTGGCAATGATTCTTCAAATGTTGACAACACTTCTTCAAGAAAATATACACAACGCAAAGCTCCTTCACGGTAAAATACACATTCTTTCTGAACATCTGGAGCATTTTCAAGACAGACTTTAACAGCCTGCAACATAGTAATAGCCAAAACCAAAATGAATACCTTAAAATTATAATTTGCCCGACATCACAGAGCCTTCCAAAATAAATCCTTACTGAATATATGTACAGGTATGGAAGTAAAATATTTTGAACTTATCGAGTAATGGGGAAAAAATTTGCAATTTACTAAAAATGAAGCAAGTAGTCTTAGATGCCAGAGTATTAGTCCACAAAGAACCTGTACGCGCCAGAATTCTTTGAGGAACCTATAGAGATAGAGATAAAATGCAATAATTAACCATATTAAAAAGTATTCAAGAATATCAAACTTGCTAATAAAATCAATTATATCAAATGTAGGAAATAAGCAACTGGTGCATAACTATGCAAAGCTCCATGGAATTCACTGAATAATGATGCTCATAAGTCATAACAATAGAATGAGAGGCACTAAATGATAACTGATTACCAGTTTTTAAACTTATAATTAATGTAAAACATACCTCGTGAGCACAAAGAAGCCCGAGATTTTCAAGGCAAAACAGAATCTTTGC